AATTACACATTCTTCAATAAAATTATATTTTTCATTACATCAATAAAATTTTCGTCATTTTCAACCATATATTTTCCGTCAATCTACTATTCCAAAATAATGTGGCTCAAATACACCCCAAAACTAGTGTTAGAATAGCTGGAAAGACTTCGAGCACAAAACTAATGAATAGATGAAGAGAAAATAAAATTTTTACAAGAGTATTTCTTGTCCAATAGTTGGAACAACTATTTCATTCGCATATGTATTTTACAATCATCTAGTTATGTCGAGTCTATTTTATCAAATTGTCGCCACATATTTGACTTACGGCGAACAAGTATCTTATACGCTTGTTTTTCTTATTGTAGTCTAGTTATATCCAGTTCATCATATCAAGTTATCGTTGCCCGTTAGACTTGTGGCATTATCCTCTTGCTTTTCAATATAAGTGATTGCATAACCAAAAACGACCATTTCATCAAAATCATACCTACTAAAAATGGTTTCAAGTCTAACACCTTTTTCTTATTGGAACGGTCTCACGAGCACGTGTAGATAACAATAACCACAAAACGTTGTAGCCATAGAAAGCAAAAGAACTTGTGCGAAGGATGTTTTCTTCTCTACCTATAGACTAAATGAAGTAGTTTGTTCCACAACTCAAAACATCTCGGTCATCACATATAGGAGTTAGTGCGTGTAAATATGGATATGCCCTTCAGAGCAACTTAAAAGTCTTTATTCACATTGTTGGGTCACTCATGCCATAGCATAATTGAGTTCACACATCATGTCAAATTGTTGTCACTGTATAAAACAATACAAAGCTTAAAAGCTTTCTCTATAGATGTCTGCTAGCATTTACAATAGAGCAGGTGTCATTGTGTCAAGATCTATCAGCGTTACAATCTTTTACACGTAACAAGGTAAATTACAGTATAATGATAATCGAATAATACCCATAATTTATATAATTAATTACAATTAGACAAAGTCTAAAGTGACAAAAGAGAAGAATCTATTATCCTGAGAGAGCAGAATTCAAAACAACCAGCACAACAACTCCAATTTGGGATTCAACTTTCTCCAAATCAGTTGAGGTTGAGCTTAACTTTTGAGTGAAATCGGTGAGCCATTTCTATATAGAGGCAGGATCAACTTGCTTAATTGGCACTGCCTCGGTTGCCAATATATCAGTAACGAAATTTGAATGGATAAATGCAAAACCACTACTAACAAAGGACATGACACCGGGTTTTAGCTCTGTGAGTAAAGTAACCGTGCCAACCTTAAATAACATGATTGCAAACATGAGTAACAAGAATTGAAGATGTGGAAATTATTTGGTGACCAATATGGTTATACCATCATTCCAATGTATTCCACCACAAAATGAATACATGCAGATGAGTTCTTAAATATTATAAAGCCTTGAAAATGAGAATTTGAGTTTATTGCTAATAATACAAAACAAACAGCTACAATATCACTTCACAGTTGTCTAGTACAAAGTTCTAACTGAGGAATGTCCATTATTCAGCTATTCTGCTTCCTTAGGACATGTTAGACCATAAATGGTTAAGTCAACCTTTGAAATTTGTGCCTCAATTTTCTGTGTTCTGCTTATTACTCCCCCTCAAGATGAGGATGTGATGCTATGAATCCTCATCTTGCTTAGAAGAAAATGAAATTGTCATGGACCAATTGCCTTGATTAGGATATCTGCCACTTGCAACTTGGATGAAATATGGGACGGCTTCAATAAACCTTCCTGCAGCTTCTCTTTCACAATGTGACAATCGATTTCAATATGTTTTGTACGTTAATGGTAAACTTGATTTGAGGCAATATAAATTGCCGCCTGAGTATCACGAAAGAGCTGTACCGGTTTGTCTAAATTAACTCCGAGATCACACAGCAAACTCGAAACCATACTAGTTTGCACGTTGTAGACACCATCGACAGGTATTGTGCCTCAGCTGATAAACGAGAAAATGTCCGTTGTTTCTTGGACTTCAATGAAATTAAAGCATTCCCAAGGAAAAAGCAAAACCCAATAACAGAGTTCCTTGTTTTCGAACAAGCCCCCAATCCGCATCGCAAAATGATGATAATTGGAGTGAATTTGCAGCTGAATAGAATAGCCCTGTGATGGTGAGCCCTTTAAGTACCATATTGTCCGCAAGGCCGCTTTCCAATTAGTGTCCTGAAGTTTGCTTAAGAATTGGCTAAGCACTTGGACTAAATATGAAATATCTGGACGGTTGATGGTTAAGTAAAACAACTTCGCAATGTGTCTTCTATATTTGGTAGGATCAGCAATATCAGTCCCTCATCTGCAGTAAATTATTAAATTTTGCTCCATGGGAAAACTAGTAAGTTTTGCAACAAGAAGTCCACAGTCCTGTAAGATCTCTAAGGCATATTTCCTTTGACAAATGAAAATGCATTGACATGATCATGCCACTTCGATGCCTAAAAAATACTTCAATGATCCAAGGTCCTTGAGCTTGAAATTTTGTGCTAAAATAATCCTTCAATGACTATATTTCTGAAGCATTATCACCTGCAATAATTATGTCATCTACGTACACCAACATAACAGTAAATGAAGTGCTGGTCTTCTTAACAAACAAAGAGTAGTCAGCCTTAGATTGCATGATTGCATGAACCCAATCTTAGTGATGACCAAAGTCAGTTTTTGGTTCCATTGACAAGATGCTTGCTTCAATCCGTAGAGTGACTTCTTTAGCTTGCAAACTCATTGCTCCCCTTGAGTGTCATATCCCAAAGGTAGAGACATGTACACTTCTTTATCCAACTCACCATACAAGAAAGAATTATTGACATCTAGGTGATATATGAACCAGTTTTTGGAGGCTGCAAGGGCTAAAAAACAACGTACAGTGGACATCTTGGCCACGGGTAAGAATGTCTCAAAATAGTCTTTTCCTTCCCTTTGAGTGTAGCCTTTTGCAACCAATCTTGCCTTCTGTTTTTCAATGCTTTGATCAGCCTTATATTTGGTCTTGAACACCCATTTGTATCCAATATTTTTCTTCCCATCTGGTAGTCGCGTAAGTACCCAAGTCTGATTTTCTTCTAGTACTCTAATTTCATCACTCATAGCAATCCTCCAATAAGGGAACGTCATAGCTTTGGCATAAGAGGTGGGCTCAGGTTCTAGGCTAGCTGCTAAGGTGAATTTCAAATGTGATGGTGACAAATGTATATAATCAAGAACCGAAGAGGGTGCATGAGGATTACCTTCATCAAATGACTTGTCAAGAGGAGGTTCTTTGGTGTTGGTGAAGAGGCCACTAGCTTGCAAAGGAAATCTTGAAGGTAATACGGTAGTTTTCTGTCTCTAATAGATCTCCTAAGTTCAGATAGAGATGCTGCCATTTGGACAGGAGGACGAGAAGGGTCTGGTAAATTGGGATTTACTGTAGTGGGAAGGGCAGGAATATGTGCAGTCTCCACTCGGTCTGGCGGGCTATTACAGGTATCAGATGAAAGCTATATATTCGGTTCAGTATTATTGTTTACTAGTTATTGTGACAATTCCATGGGATCAGAAATGGGATTAGGAATAACAACAATATTATCCAGTGTGGATATGGTAAGTGTTTGCAAAAGAGAGGACATGTCAATGTAGTGTTTGAAAAGGAAAATTTCCTCATAAAAGACCACATCTTGACTAACTAAGATTTCATGAGTTTTCATGTCAAAGAGCTTGTAGCCATTAATCCCATTTGGATATCCTATAAAAATACATTCCCAAATCAAACTTGGATCGGTGAAGGTCAAGGTTTGATGCATAGCATAGACATCCCAAGGTTCTTAAGTGAGAATAAGAAGGAATTTTGGAGAAATTTTTTTTGGTAAGGGGTCTTGTTCTGCAAATTTGGTGAGAGAGTACAGTTGATTAAATATGCAGCTGCAAAAACACACTCTCCCTAAAACTTCAATGATAGGTTGGTTTGGAACCTTAAGGTTGGTTTGGAACCTCAGGGCCCTTACCACATTTAACAAATGTAAATGCTTCCTTTCTACTATAGAGTTTTGTTGAGGGTATAGGTACAACTTTGTTTGTGAGTGACTCCTCTGAAAAAAAAATTAGGCCATTTAAAACTCTTTTCCTTAGTCTGTTTGAATAGCTTTAATCTTGCAGCAGAATTGATTTTCAATGAGGTTAAAGAAGTTTCTATTAACTGCCACGTTTGGCTTTTGCTCTTTATGAGATAAATCTACTATGATCTTCAACAACTATTAAAAAAGAATGAGCTCCATTGAAAGAGGCAACAAAAAATGGTCCCCAAATATCCATATGTAATAGATCAAAACATGACGTAACAAACTTGTGACCAGATGGAAAAGGTAAACTAGTTTGTTTAGCCATATGACAAGTGTCACAATGGTATTTTGTTGAAAAAATGGGGTTAGTCGGATCCATGATATGCAACAACACAAGGTGTTGGTCTGATGGATGTCCTAGCCTTAGGTCCCACAATTTCAGTGTCAAAACGGTAAGAGAATGTGCAGCTAGTAGGTTCTAGTGCGACTTGATCCCATGGTCACTTTCCTGTAGGTAGTACAATCTGTGCACTTCTTTAGCAACTCCATTCATCCTCCAATGGAATATCTCCTGAATGAAATAGTAGACGAATAAGAACACAAGACAATAATGGAGATCTTCGGTCAGTTTGCTGGTAGATATTAGATTGAAACTAAAACTTGATTCATACAAAACGTTGTCAAGTGTAAGAGTGGTTGAAATGCGGATAGTTCTTATATATGTGACAGCAACTACAGTACTATTTGGTAATTTAACAGATGCGTTGAAAGGGATTTTTTGTGTGTAAACATACCGAGTGAACTGACTATATGGTCAGTTATACCTGAATCTAAAATCCAAGAGTTTGAATGAGCCTCACATGACATACAGTTGAGTGAGTGACAGATCAAGATAGAGAAAGTGCTGGGAATTTTACCTGTCATGTTTAAATGTTGGTTACCTATGGGTTTTGAAGTGGAGTTGGCTTGAGGAGATTTTTGGCTTTGGAGAAGACTATCAGTTACTGAATCTGGTCATGAGAAATTTTCAGACTTGAGCTATTCGAGCCTTCATTTGCAGCAGCAAGGCACACTGTTTTATAGTCCTTTCTAGATACTGTAGTATCCTTGTGGAACTTATGGTTGGGTGGATACCCATTAATCTCCCAACAATTCTCTATGGAATGGTTGGTGCGGCAACATTTCTTACATGTAACTTTATCTTTTGATCTCGTCCCCTTGTAGTTGTTCTTCTATCTTTGCTTAGAAGAATCTTTCTGGTCTTGATTTTTCCTGAAAACATGGCAGTAGACTCGATTGTGGTGTTGCTGCCGTTGGTCAGCTTCTTGTTATCTTCTTCTTGTAAAATGAAGTTGAAAACTGTATCAAGCGATGGCAATGGATCCCTGAGAAGAATCTGGTTCCTCGGCCCATTGTGAGCTTCGTCCAAACTCATCAAAAATTGAATAATCCGTCTTCTCATTCGCCTCTTCATGATCATGGAGATGGCTCTAGAATCAGTTACCATGCACTTAAATGGTTCCTCATATCTCAATATTTCTTCCCATATGAGTTTCAACTTCGAAATATAGACACTCACTGGTGCGTTCTCTTGCTTGGTCATTGCCAACTGCAGTTCAAGCATAAAAATTTGGTTATTGCTTGACTTAGCAAATCGTTTCTTGAGCTCCTCCCATACTTGGAATGTCAAATCGGAGTAAATAACATATCCTGCTATCTCCGGCGAAAGACTATTCATAAGCCAAGACAAGATCATGTGGTTACATATTTGCCATTGTGGATATTTCTCATCAGTTTCTTTGGGCTTCTTGACTGTGCCATCAATGAAGCCTAGCTTATTTTTGGCAGATAGAGCCGCATAAATGGCTCTACTCCAAGCATGATAATTTTAGGGTGTAAGGGGCTATGAGACTATGACTAATCCGTGGCTCTCGCCGTGGTGGAGAAAGTATGGGTTGGATGATTCATCCGCAGGTTGTGTGTTGGTTTTGAGTCCGGGGACCATGATGGATTAGAAAGAGAATTTAAGGTAGGTACAGATGTTGGGGTTGTGACTCAAATTAAGGTTAGAATTTGTGTTTGGAAAGA